TGTATACGGATGCATGGATGTATGGATGTATGGATGCATGAATGTATGGATGCATGGATGCTTGGATGCATGGATGTATGAATGCATGAATGTATGGATGCATGGATGCTTGGATGCATGGATGTATTGATGCATGGATGCTCGGATGCATGGATGCTTGGATGCACAGATGTATGGATGCATGGATGCTTAGATGCATGGATATATGGATGCATGAATGTATGGATGCATGGGTGCTTGGATACTTGGATGCATGGATATATGGATGCATGGATGCTTGGATGCATGAATATATGATGCATGAAGGCATGGATGCTTGCATGCATAGATGTACGGATGCATGGATGTATGGATGCACTGATGGAACGTCACCCCACCTACCCCATGAAGCCTTCCTTGACTACATGAGGCAGTTTGTTCCGTGATGGTCCTTCGTACCTACATACCTCAAACACAACACTTACTCTACCATTGCATTATAACTACTTGTTCATAAATCTTTCCCTAACATCGGACTATGAGCTCTCTAAGGGCTAGTATTGTGTTTTGCTTAGTCTGAACACTTATATCTCAATAAAGCTGGGAAAAAAAGAAACAAAGACAGAAGGCACACATAGTAATAAGAGAAATAAAAAAGGGGATATCACCCCATATCCTGCAGACTTTAAAAGATAAGGGGGTATTATGAATAACTTTACATCCTTCTGACACATTTCCTTCTGAATCACCCAGTCTCAAGCCTACCTCTGCCCACTAGTGAAGTTGTTCTCAAGTCACCAGGGCCACAGTCCAATGACCTTTTCTTATTCCGCAACTCTCTTGATCTCCACATGCTACCAACCCCTCTTCCATCTGAGCATTTCCTTCTTGCTGTGCTCTCTTAGCTGTATCTTCCTCCTCTTCTCTTGCCATCAGAGGTTCTTCTTTCTCCCACCCCAACCCTGCTCCTCAATGGTAGACCCCTAGAAATACAGTAATTCCCTCCCATTTTCTCTCTTTCTGTTCACTCTCTTAGAAGTTTCTTCAGCACTGCTTCAGTCGTTTAAGTGGAGAGAATTTCTGGGGCGCCTGGGTGGCTCAGTTGGTTGAGCGACTGCCTTCGGCTCAGGTCATGATCCTGGAGTCCCGGGATCGAGTCCTACATCGGTCTCCCTGCTCAGTAGGCAGTCTGCTTCTCCCTCTGACCCTCCCCCCTCTCATGCTCTCTCTCTCAAATAAATAAATAAAATCTTAAAAAAAAAAAAAGTAGAGAGAATTCACAAATTAATAGTCTAGCCAGACTTTTCACTGGGAACCCAAAACTGAAGAGGCTGGGCTCCATAATGCTATGGTCTACTCTTTACCTAGCTTTCAGTTTCTAGTAAGTATAAATGGACCTTTTTGAAAACCTAATGAAAACCATGAACCATCTCCCCAGAAAAATAAATAATTCACAGAATTTTGCATGTAAATTTAGACTAGGGACCTCAGTTAAGAAGGCATTGTTAGAAGAGTCATACTGATTAATGACTTGTACCAAATCACACGCTCATTCTCAATTTGTTCCCCAACTCCGTATAGCATTCCTTGTATATTGATGTAAAATGTGTTTCTTATATGTCATTAAAAAATGGCATGGCTCTGAATAAATATTTCTCCAAAGAAAATATATAAATGGCCAATAAGCACATGAAAAGATGCTCGCCATCATTAGCCATCAGGGAAATGCAAATCAAAACCACAATGAGCTACCACTTCACACCCACCAGGATGGCTATAATAAAAAAAGACAATAGCGGGGCGCCTGGGTGGCTCAGTTGGTTAAGCGACTGCCTTCGGCTCAGGTCAGGATCCTGGAGTCCCTGGATGGAGTCCCGCATCGGGCTCCCTGCTCGGCAGGGAGTCTGCTTCTCCCTCTGACCCTAACCCCTCTCATGTGCTCTCTCTCATTCTCTCTCTCTCTCAAATAAATAAATAAAATCTTAAAAAAAAAAAAAAGACAACAGCAAGCACTGATGAGGATGTGAATAAACTGGAACCCTCATATGCTGCTAGGGGGAAGAGAAAATGGTACAGTCCCTTTGGAAAACAGCCTAGCAGTTCCTTAAAAGGCTAAACATAGAGTTACCATATGACCCAGCAATTCACTCCTGGGTACATACCCAAGAAAAATGAAAACATACCCACACAAAAACTTGTATACAGATATTCATATCAGCATTACTCATGATAGCCCCGAAATGGAAGCAACCCATATACCCATCGATTGATAAATAAAGTGTGATACATTCATACAATGGGCTATCATTCAGCAGTAAAAAGGAATTGTACAAGTCAATGGGTGTACAAGTCAATGGGTGTACAAGTCAATGGGTGAATAACATGGTATGTGAATTCCATCTCAATAAAGCTGTTAAACACTACTTTGTAAAAATATGTATGAAGCACTAACTGCAAAAAATGGATAAAGTGGACATCATCAAATGAAAACATTCCACTACTCAGAAAACATCATTTAGAAAGGAAAAAGCAAGCCACAGACTGGGAGAAAGTATTTGTAACATATACATCTGACAAAGGACTTACATGCAGAATATATAAAAAATTAATAGTAAGAAGATAAACAACCTAATTAAGAATGGGTAAAAACGTGGGGTGCCTGGGTGGCTCAGTCAGTTAAGCAACCAACTCTTGATTTCAGCTCAGGTCATGATCTTCGAGTTGTGAGATCGAGCCCTGCATTGGGCTCTGTGCTCAGCAGGGAGTCTGCCTGAGCTTCTCTCTTGCCCTCTCCCTCTGCCCCTCCCACTCTCTAAAATAAATCAATAAATCTTAAAAAAAAAAAAAAAGAATGGGCAAAAACGTATGTCTATGGTAACTATAGGGAGACAGAACAGGATGCTTGGAGGACTGCTCTGAATCTGAAAAGGCTATAACAAGTTGACCCTGAAGAACGCCACCACAGATACCTGATTTGGATGTGGGCAGACTGAGAGGTGACATGAGAATATCAGAATAGCTATTAATGATTACATATATTGTGAAGACTTTTACCGCGGTGTTTTAGAAAAGATTCCTCACATGAAGCGGCTGTTGAAAAGATAAAGTGGATACGTGAAAGAGAAAAAGAGCCTGAGTACATACACGAGTTACACGGCTCTAACTCATAAACTACTGGAACGTTCTGTCAGGACCAGACACGTCAGGCCTGTACAACATGAACCCAATAGCTGGCCATCCAACTGCCAAACAGAGTGTAGACATAATACGGATTCTCCATACTACAGGACACTCAAACAACCCTACCAACCCCACCCCTCACGCCAGATTCTTCTGCCAAAAGACCCCAAAAACAAGTGGAAAAAAACTTAGCCATATATGCAAACTTCTGCCAATTGAGAGAGTATTTTCCCTTGAAAAAAGGAGAAAAGGCACAAGGAGGAAAATATCCAGAAATCAATGCCACACCAACGTTTACCGTTGAGAGGGCAAGAGGTATGAATCAAAAGATAATTCTGTACTGCTCAACAGGACCCAGCTAGAAGAATGCTGATTCATGAATCTGAGCCACTGTCTTGGGTGGTTGGACACTGTCTCCTTCCTCTACATAAGATTTAAGAGGCCATAAATCAATGAGAGCTATGCTTTTGGCCTCTGATGTGAGAGACAGCAGTGAAAATTTGGTTTGGTTGCGATGGGCAGAATTTCGAATGGGAACTACAGAGTTTGGAGCCCAGGACACAGACTGGGTTTCTCTGGCCGGCACCGGATCCATCAAGGCAGAATGTCCTAAGAACTCACTTCACCCTCTGGCTCTCTCTGAGACAGGAAAGACACTAACTCAGGCAACTGAGCCATGGTCTGAGAGGAATCACCAACACACAATTCATGCATTCATGTACCGAGCAAACATTGATTGAGAGTCTACTCAACCCCAGTCGCTGAGCTGAGCACCAGCGATACAACGATTAATAAAATAAATTCAGTTCTGAGGGAGGAAGATAGAATTCAACAAGCTGTTCTGCAGTACCTAGGTGATTACAAGTGTGATAATTGTTACTCAGCTCCTGTTGACTGTTGTCACGTGGGAGTGGAGATGGCCTGAGGGCCAGAGCTGACTCTGAATGGCCTTTGTTCCCTTTTTTTTTAAGAACCAAAAGGCCAGAATGGGAGCTCCAATAGCAAGGTCAGACCAATGGCCCGTACAAACTTGCTCACACCACCAAAGGGAAGCAACGCCACGTGATGCCATTAAAAGCTGTTTAAGTCTTTGGATTCTGAGCCTGGCAGTGAGGCCTATTCACAACTGGATAACAGAGGATAAAACAAACACACGATATAATCCCTCCCCAAATACACGCATACTAATGCATGAACCAGAAACATTGTCTCTCTCTCATTTTCTCTCTCCCTCACACATACGCTACTTTATACTCATCTATGTATGTACCACACACCATCACACGCGTGACGCATACTCTCAGCCTCACACCTCCAAAGGTGTGTACACATCACATCAACACATCCACACACACACACAGAGGCCCCCATACCAGGCTGGCTGTTCCACTCCTCACTTTCTGGGGTGCAAGCAGTGGGCCGGCCCTCTGGATCCTTTCCTTCTTCTTGCTTCTCCTGTGGAAGGCAAGCCTGATTCCTGTCCTCATGGGTTGGGGTGAAGCCCCAGCCTCTATTCCAGGCCCCTGCCTGGCTCTCTGGTCACACGGTATTCTGCCCCAAACAAGGAGAATTTCTTCTAGGCTACCAGCAGGCACAGAGCTCCAGTGGGCAACCCCGACTACGTGGGCACATCCCATAAGCATACAGCCCCTAGTTTCACAGTCTGACTACAATCCTCCTCATTCCTCAGACCTGCTGTGTGTTGATTTTACTTGCCCACTGGAGCTTTCATGCTCTGTCTCTTCCAGCTTCTCTGCCTCTGGCCTCCTGACGGGGCTCCAGTGATGGAGCTTTTCATCTGCTACTCATCTACTTGGGTGCTGGTGTATGTGAATGTGACTTAGCCCTGACACTAGACTGAGATGGAAGCCCCAGAAAAGCAAAGAGGGTGACTTAATCATTTTCTTCTAACTCAGTACAGAACCTGAGTCAAAATGGGACCCCAAAATACGATGAGTGAGTCATCATGTGTCTTCTCTGGCCCAGCCCCACAGCCCAGATTAATGGAGAGGATAGTGGGAATTGACAGGTAGCCTCTAGCCTCTAGCCTCCCCTTCCCCTCCCCACTGCCCTCTTCCTACCAAGGCCTCAGGCTCTGACTCCTCCTCTGAGGGGCTGTGGTATTCCCGGCGCTTCCTCTTCTTCATGGGTTTGAGAAGCTCAGAAGCACTGGTGCAGGAGTTCTGGCCTGAGGAGTTCTCCACTATGACCGACCTGAGGGACAGATGGCCTGAGAGAAAGGACCACCCACCCTACACCACCCAGTCCTTCTCCTAAGCCCTGAGCAGGAATGGAGAATGGGGGGCCCCAAGGCAGAGCAAGTAGGGTTGCAATACCCTCCCCCTTACCGCTCTTGGAACAGTGGCGGGCAGTCATCGTTGGAGGAACTAGCAGGATCTGGACCCACGCTTTGCTGAGGTCCACACTCCTGGCACTGACAAGCACCATCATCTTCTGGGGGATCCTGGGGGGGATCTTCTGGAGGATCCTGGGGAAGGTCCGCTGTGGGGGCCAAAGGGGCCTCAGGCCTCCCATCCATCACAGCCACACTCAGGCTCCGCCCACCTCGGAGCCCACGCCCCCTCTGGCTCCCCTGGACAGGCCCCCAACAGTCTTCTCTATCTCAGGACCAACCCCTGGACGCACCCGCAGGACCCAGGCCACCCACTCCATCCTCCTCCACCCCCCACACTGGAGACTCCTCAGGGAGCTCGGGCCTCGACCCACCCGGGCAGGGCCCCAGCCTGGGGACTGGGGGGTCCTACCCGGCTGTTGGGTGCCCGCATCGCCACCTCCCGCCGGGGCCTCGCCATCTTCGTATTCGGCCACACCTTCGGGCCGTAGCTCGGGGCTCGGGGGCTGCTCCGCTCCTACCATGTTCAGTGGTGCGTACTCGCTTATCCGGAACTGGAGCGTGGGAGGGTCTGAGGACGGGACTCCTGTACCCCCTCGACCCGCCTCTGATCGGCAAGGTCCCCTCCCGCCGCCTTACTCCGCAAGGCTCCACTCCGGGTGCCTCGCTCCAAGCCACGCCCCCAGCAGCCCGCCAGACCCCGAGCGCCTCCACCCAAGCCATGCCCCTGGAGTCCCTCACTCAAAGCCGCACCCCAGAACCCCCCATCGCGAGCCCCTTCCCCCTCCTTCGCCTCGGGCCCCGCCTCCAGCCCGCTGGCCCCGCCCCACAGGTGGGGCTCGCAGGCCCCCGCCAATCCCCACAGACACTGACCCGTAGGCCGCTCCCAGGAGGCGGGGCCGCAGCCTCCGTCCACTCCAGGAGCCGCACGGTGGTGGCGCTGGAGCTGGCCGCAGGCGCCGCGCTTAACTGCGGCAGAACGGTGGCCGTGACAGGGACGCTGCCGGCCACTCGCTCCGGAGCGCCCACATGGATCGTCTCCCGCGGAAAACAGGAAACATCCAGGGCACTGCTGGGCAGGCCAAGGGTGGCCGAGCCGGCTGCGAACAAATACACAGACATGTCACAGGTGAGCCTGGTGGCCCTGCCCCATGCATGTGTAGGCAGGTGAAAGTATGTCCTTCCCGGGATCCACACCTCCCTCCAGGCCCCTGGCTTGGTCCACCTGGGATGATGAAGGCAGTAGCCGGCAGGTGAGAGCTGGAACCTGGACTGTCTCTGGCCACCAGGTGCACGTTGACCTCTCCTGTGGAGGGCCCCTTCAGTGTCCTCAGCATCTCCATTTCGGCATTCCCCTCCATCCTGGTAGGCCTGCAAGCTGAACACGACCCCCAGGGAGATTAGGGAGGGAGCAGGCTTCTTTGAGGAGGAACTCTTCACCCTCAGGTTGGCAACCTGCAGAGAAAAGCCTCAGTCCTGAGGAGAGCAGGGTGTCTTAGGAGACCAACATTAAGTCTGGCTCCTGGCTCTAACCAGGTCACCCAGGTGAGGGCTCTGGCCAGGCCTTGCATCTCCCCCAGACTCTGGAAGATGGGCATGCGTGAGGGTGCTTTGTAAACTGTGATGTAGAGGTACACAACTGACTCTGGGGAGTAGGTCTCAGGTCAAGGTTCTGTCTGGCCAGCTGTCAGTGACAGAGCCCAGGCAACCTCTGAACTCCCTCTTCTCAACCCCCACCTCCAGCCTCACTAGGATCAATCTCTTCTTCCTGGGGGGATTTAGAGCCCTCAAGTACCAGGTTCGATCTCACTCATAAGGTCCATTTTCCTAGGAGGTGATCTTTCCCAATCACATTCTTATATTCTTACATGCCCCCTGCCCGCAATCCTTCCAACCCCAAGCACAGAGTAAGCACTATAACATCCGTTGAACAAATGCATACATGTGGAGAGCAAAGAGGTGTTGTTTGAGAACCCAGGCAGTGCATGACTTTTCTATATAATAAAGCAAGGGCAAAAAAGGTATTTAATAAAGAGGTTGTTGAACAAATAAATATATGGGGGAAAAAAAAAGACCTAATGACATAACTATACTTAGGATCTATCTATCATTTACTTAACTCCTAAAACGTTTTGGCCACTGTTCTAGTGCCAGTCTTACCATCACTGTCCAGAATTTTCTGTGATGATGTAAATGTCTTATGCCTACATTGTCCAACACACTAGTAGCCACTAGCCACATGTGGTTACTGAACAACTGAAATGTGGCTAGTGTGAATGAAGAACTGAATTTTTAAATTTTTATTATTATTATTTTTTAGAATTATTCACTTTTCAGTTTGTTCAGTTTTTTTTTTCCTCAAGATTTTATTTATTTATTTGACAGAGAGAGAGAGACAGTGAGAGAAGGAACACAAGCAGGGGGAGTGGGAGAGGGAGAAGCAGGCCTCCCGCTGAGCAGGGAGCCCGACGAGGGGCTTGATCCCAGGACCCTGGGATCATAACCTGAGCTGAAGGCAGACGCTTAATGACTGAGCCACCCAGGCACCCTAGAACTAAATTTTTTAAATCTTAAATTAAATTTAAATAGTCACAGTGGCTATAGTTACCGTGTTGGACAGCAAAACTTTACATATATTATAAGTGGCCTGTCGTCTCTACTTGTAAAACACATCTCACAGTCTGACTTCTCTCCATCTCCTTGCTTCTATGAGAGTCCCAACTGCCATCAGCTCTCCTTGGACTTCAGAAACTGCCTCCTACCTCATCTCCCTTCTTCCTCTCTTGCCCCCTACAGTCTATTCTCCAGTAAGAGAAAGCTTTAAAAATGTAAGCCAAATCACATAATTTCCCGACGTAAAATTCTTCCATGGCTCTCCATTGTCCTTAGAATAAAATCAAAGTGCTTCCCCCTATAGAATCTGACCCCTGTCTTCCTCTCTGACCTCATCCTCCACCACTCTTCGCCTGTTCTCCACCCCAACAAATACTGGTTTCCTTCTACTCATTAACAAATGTTCCCACCTTAGAGCTCTTGATCCTTGTTCTCCCCTCTGCTTAGAATGCACCTCCCTAAGCTCTCTGCTTGGCTGCCTGCTTCCCATCCTCCAGGCCTCGGCTCAGTGGTCACCTCCTCAGAAGAGGTCTTTCAGGGCCACTCAGTTTAAGCAGCATACCCCTCACCCACACCACTAGCGCTCAATCCATCACTGTGTTTATTTCCTTTGCATCCTTCATTATAATCAATAATGATCTTCATTTACTTATTTGTGTGTGATCAGTCATCCCCATAGAAATATAAGTTCCATGAAGGCAAAGACTTGTATCTGTCTTGTCCACTGCTATACAGCCAGCCCCTGGAATAGTGCCTGCACACAGTAGGTGCTAAATAAATATGTGTTGAATTTCAGTAATTACAACGTGTTGATAAAAAGCTCTGGATGTGTGATTGATACCTGGTTGCTTTAAGGAGTTGGCAGTCCTTGACAATGGCTTCTGGCGTACAAGTTAAAGGAAAACATGGCCTCGGCTCAAGACAGACTTAAGACAGTGTGAATCTCAGCTCCAGCACTTAACACCCGTGACTCTGAGTAAGTAGCTTACCTGACTTGAGCCTCAGTTTCCTCGTGTGTAAAATAAATCCAGTAATGATATCTACCTCAAAGTGTTCTGGTGAAGATCACATGCGAAAAATGTGTGAAGTCTCGGTAGCAGCAGGCTTTCAACAAACACCAATCCACTCCCTTTTAACAGAAATTCCAGGGAGCTTGGTAGCTTCTGGCCGGTAACATGGAAGCTGCTTGCTAGCAAAGTCAGCTTGGAGGGGTTACTGTCTCTCCCACCCTCCTCCCACCTGCTGTTCTTGTGCACTCATTTATTTCCCAGCTTTTCCTCCCTAAAACAGAGAGTCCATCCTCTATATTATATAATCAGGTAGGTGAAGGCTAGATATATAACCTGATTAATGAAGGCAACATTCAAACCAAGGTGTGTTTCCCTTTGTTAAAATTATAAAATAGAATTCCCTGAATTTCAATTCTAACTATTTTGCTTTGCACAGCTGATGTACTTGTAGCACTTTAAGTTCTTTTAGATAGAGTCAATCTTTTAATTCAAAACCTTGGCAGTCACTAAGAGTGAGTGTGGTTACTGCTGGAAGAACCCGTTCCTATTTCGAAACCCCCCACATGTTTCGGGGGTGTCCAGGAAGGGTGGCCGAGGGGACTGCCCTCCTGCTCAGGTTTGCTGCCCTTGTTTGCAAACACTGTAGGGCCAACTAGGTGTCAGCTCCGTTCTGTGCTCTGGGAATACAGTCTCAAAAAAGACAAAGTGCTCTCAGGAAGCATATATTGTAGAAATAAGGGCTAAGGCTGGGTTGGAAATGTAAATTGGAAAGCCGTCGTGCGTAGGGGCATTGAAAACCAAAGAACTGAGTATAAAGAAAAAGGTAGGAGCTTTGGAGCTCACCAAGATTTATAGGATGGGAGGAGGATGATCTGGTAAAAGAGCCTGCCTTCAGGTCAGAGGGAATCCAGAAGAGTCTGAACTTCTGGAGGACACAGGAGGAATGTTTTCAGGACAGTGGGACTGCTCAACGGTGTGAAATGCCACTGACAGATCAAGTGAGGGGAGGGCTGAGAGCTGACCACTGGGGCAAAAAGGGGGTCCTTAGAAACCTCGACAAGAGCCACTTCTGAGGAGCTGTGGACACAAAAACCAGACTGGAGTGGATTCTAGAGAGAGATCATGGATTAGTTCAATATTTACTGAGCACCTACTATGCGCCAGGTACTGTTCTAGGCAATGCAGATTTGTCAGTGAACAAAACAGACAAAAACCTCTGCCACAGACTCTACATTCTAGTGGGGGAAGCTGACACTAAGGTTTGCTCCTCAGGAGAATGGGAGAAAGGGAAGTGGAACAATGGGACTGACAACTCTCTCAAGGAGCTCGTGATGTGAAGGAGAGCGCATGGAATTGGGGGATGGTGTTTGGAGAGTGACGTGGTCTCAAGGAAGGGGCGTGGGGGTTTGTTGGTTTGTTTTTAAATAGGAGATGTTAGAGCATGTTTGTACCTGATGAAAATGAACCTATGGAGAGGAAAAAATGGGCAGTGCAGGGGAAAAAGAATAATTCTAGAAGACAAGTCCTTGAATATGCAGGAGGAAAGAGGATCCAGTGCACCTGTGATGTTGGGACCCATCACATGTACTTGTGGGCTCCTGGCTCGCAGCACCTACTGCTTCTGTGTTCTTCCTCCCCAGCTAGACCAGGAGTTTTTCTGAGGCCTGTGACTGCTTTCTCTGTGATTTGAATTCACTCTTCCTCTCCTGCTGCCACCCCTTATGTTTGCAGCTCACGCAGCATTTTCATAAACACTGTCTCACTTGGTACACACAGCAGCACAACCAGTCTGAAATGGCTCCCAGGCCCAAGCCATGTGCCAGGAACCCATCCACTCCTACCCTTACGGCCTGATCACACCCTCAGAACCCCACTCCTGTGTCTTCTGCACATATTATTCCTTCTGCTTGGTACCTTTCCACATCCCATAGGTCTGGAGAGATCTTAATCATCCTCTAAGATCCACCTTGAGTGACACCTCTTCTTTGAAGCCTTCCCGGAATCCACCCCCAAACAAAGTTAATCATCCCCTGGGCTGTGTTCCACTCCACCACAGTCTAACTATGCATTAACTTGTCTGTCTCCCCCAGAGATGGCACAAAGCAGCTGACGTGCAAAAAAGCCTAACAGAGAGGCATCACTCAAATCATCACTGAATGAATCAGAGAGCTGGGAGTAAAAAGTGGTCAACGTTATAAGAAGCAGTGGTACTGAAATCCATACAAGGTTTAGCCATTCTTGCCTTCGGGGCTGGAATTCGATTTCCCGGGGCTGTGCTGCTCAGAGGCTAGGGTTAAGGTGGGAGGTCCCAGCCCTAAAGGTTGTCACGGGCAGCCCTCAGCTGTCACCTTCTCTGGGAACTGCCCTCAGCCAGGGGAGCTGCCTCGCCCAAGTGCCCTCTCCTGGAAGCAGCCATCCTGTTAGACCAGCTGATAAGGGAAGGAAAGGCCTCACCCCCCTGCCTCAATTTAGGATATCTCAGCAGGGCCCTGCCCACTCCAGAGCTTCCCCTGGGACAGGCTGAGGCCTCTGTTGAGACTACCTTGGCTGTTCAACTTCTGTCCAGCACCTTGCTGTCTTCCCTGTCCTACAGGTGATATTCGCAAGGGCATTCCAGTACACCTGCGCTCACATCTCCCTCCCAGAGTCTGGTTCCAGGGAACCTGACCTAAAATAGCCATTTGGGTCCCCGGGCCAGAGAGGTGTCTGGCACATAACATATGCTCAATAAATATTTATTGAATGAGTAT